CCATATCTGCATCAATTAAATATTCGGAAGGACAACGGAAGACCTGAGAATCAGGAGAGGAGCTGACATAGCTTCAAATCACCACCTGGTTGCGGCCAAGATAAAACTAAAGCTAGTGAAGCATTGGACAACTGGGCAAACAGCAGTACAAAAGTTCAATGCAGCCTTCTTTCAGCATACTGTTCAACTCAAAAAATTCAAAAAAGCTCTCAACAAAAGGTTTCAAGTTTTACGGGATCTACTGAAAGAAAAAGAAATAACTGAGGACAACAGCTGGAAGGAGATTAAACTTTAACTTCAACGTGTCTGGAGGTGTTGGGCCGTCAGAAATATCATCAAATGGAATGGATCTCTATCGAAACCCTGCACAATATTCAAGAAAAGAAGAAAAAAGACATCAATTAACAACAGCCAAATACAAACAGAGAAATTCAAGTCACAGGCCGAATACACGGAAGAAAACAAGCGGATGAAGAAGAGCATAAAAGACGACAAACAGAAATACGTGGGAGATCTAGCAACGACTGTGGAACATTCTACAAGATAAGGAAATATGACACATCAAAGACATTGGTAGAGAAATATGGTAAACCAGTGAGATCAATCAAGAACGAAGAAGGCAGCCCGATCACTGTGATTCGTGAATAAAGGAACGGACTGACAGAACATCTTGAAGAACTCTTGACTAGTCCAGCTCCACTGAACCCATCGAACTTTCAAGCAGTACACATAAACCTTCCTACAGGTGTTGCGCCACCAACCATCGAAGAAATCACGATTGTCATCGGACAAATCGAGATTAAGAAATCAAAGGGACCTGATAATATGCCAGCTGAAGCACTAAAGTCAGACACGGAAGTGACAGCAACTATGTTTCACATTTTATTGAAAAAGATTTGAAAGGAGGACCACGTACCGGCAGATAGCAAAGAAGGTTACTTCACCAAGATACCATAGAAAGGAGATCTGGGCAAATGAAAGAACTACAGAGGAATCACCTTATTATCGGTAACATTAAACGTTTATGACAGTGTTGCTGAACCAGATGGAAGATTAAGTAGACCCTCAGCTCCAATATTAACAGACAGGATTCCATAAGGATCAGTCGTGTACAGACCAAATCGCGACACTACAGATCATCATTGAACAACTGAGTGAATCAGACTCGTCCACTATGCATCAACTTCCTCGACTATGGGAAAGCATTTAACAATTTAGATAGGAAGACTTTACGGAAACCCCTTTGGCACTATGAAACATATGAGATTGTCAATATCATATGGAATTCATACGACGAAATACAGTGCAAATTCGTGTATGGTGGTCAGCTAACAAATGTATTCCAAGAGCTGACCGGCGTCACTTTCTCTTTCGTCTCTCGGTCGACTGGATTATGAAGACGGAATATAGTGGACGGTTGGTATGCGGCTAGACGACCCGGACTTTGCAGATGACCAAGCCCTTCCATCACATACACTGCAACAAATGCAGGTCATGACAAACAGTGTGGTAGCAGTCTCTTCATTGGCAAGCCTCAACATTCAAAACGGAGAAAGCAAGATCCTCAAAAACAACACGGAAAACACCGACCCAATCACACTTGATGGCGAAACTCTGAAAAAGGTGGAAACTTCCACGTACCTGAACAGCATAGTCAATGGAGAGCAAAAATGTTTATAGGTACATGGTACGTTCGAACAATGTGGGGAACCGGGAAGACCAGTCAAATAGCAATGGAAATGAGGAGATACAACTTAGCAGTACTGGGGTTCAGCGAAACCTACCGGAACCAAGCTGGACAGAAAAGGCTAGCTACAGGAGAGATGCTGCTATACTCCGGTCATGAAGAGGACAATGCTCCACACACTCAGGGAGTCGCTCTTATGCTGTCCAAAGTAGCACGAAATGCACTTGTAGGATGGGAATCTCACGGATCCAGAATCATCAAAGCATCATTCAAAACAAAGAAGGAGGGGATCTTAATGAATATTATCCAATGTTATGCACCCACAAATGATAGCAACGACGACATTAAAGATCAGTTCTACGAGCGGCTGCAGTCAGTCATTGAGAAATGCACAAGAAAGGACCTAACTAATCTGATGGGAGGTCTAAATGCCAAAGTCGGAATAGACAACACTGGATATGAAGATATTATGGGACGACATGGACTGGGAGAAAGAAACGAAAATGGAGAAAGGTTTGCAAATCTATGTGCATTCAACAAATTGGTCATAGGAGACACAATATTTCCACACAAGCGTATACACAAGGCTACATGGATCTCACCGGACCACACTACAGAGAACCAAATAGATCATATTTGCATCAACAAAAAATTCAGAAGGACAATGGAAGATGTGAGAACCAGGAGAGGTGCTGACGTAGCTTCAGATCACCACCTAGTTGTGGCCAATTTAAAACTGAGGCTAAAAAAGAACTGGACAAGTGGACAAACAGCACTACAAAGGTTCAATACAGCCTTCCTTCGAGATACTGACAAACTCAATGAATTCAAGATAGCTCTCAACAACAGGTTCCACGTCTTACAGGATCTACTGAAAGAAGAAGAAACTTGTATAGAGGACAACTAGAAAGGCATCAAGGAAGCATTAACTTCAACGTGTCAAGAGGTTCTGGGTCTAAAGAAATACCATCATAAGGAATGGATCTCTACAGAAACACTGGACAAGATCAAAGAAAGGAAGAACAAGAAGGCAGCAATAAACAACAGCCGAACACGAACAGAGAAAGTTCAAGCACAAGCTGAATACATAGAAGCAAACAGACAAGTGAAGAGGAGCATTAGAGCCGACAAGAAGAAATACGTGGAAGAACTAGCAACGACAGCAGAAAAAGCTGCTAGAGAAAGAAATATGAAACAGCTTTACGATACAACGAAGAAACTATCAGGGAAATACAGTAAACCAGAGAGGCCGGTGAAAGACAAAGAAGGCAAGCCAATCACCGAAATTCAAGAACAGTGGAACAGATGGGTAGAATACTTCGAGGAACTCCTGAATAGGCCGGCTCCAATGAATCCACCGGACATCGAAGCGGCACACACAAATCTTCCCATAGACGTCGACCCACCAACGAAGGAAGAAATCAGAATGGCTGTCAGACAAATCAAGAACGGGAAAGCAGCGGGTCCGGACAACATACCAGCTGAAGCACTGAAGTCAGACATCGAAGTAGCTACAAACAGGCTTTACCTTCTATTCAAAAAGATTTGGGAGGAAAAACAAGTCCCGATGGACTGGAAAGGACACCTCATCAAGATTACAAAGAAAGGAGATCTGAACAAATTTGAAAACTACAGAGGCATTACACTACTGTCAATACCAGGGAAAGTATTTAACAGAGTTTTGCTGAATCGGATGAAAGATGTAACAGACGCCCGACTTCGAGATCAACAAGCTAGATTCCGTAAGGATCGATCGTGCACAGACCAAATTTCAACACTATGGTTCATCGTCGAACAATCAGTTGAGTTGAACTCATCACTATACATCAACTTCATTGATTATGAAAAAGCATTCGACAGTATAGATAGGAGGACATTATGGAAACTTCTTCGACACTACGGAGTTCCTGAGAAGATTGTCAAAATTATCCGGAACTCATACGAAGGACTACAGTGCAAAGTAGTGCATGGAGGACAGCTGACAGATGCATTCCAAGTAAGGACCGGAGTAAGACAAGACTGTTTACTCTCTCCCTTCCTCCTTCGTCCGGTAGTCGACTGGATTATGAAGACCTCGACATCTGAAGGAAAACACGGAATACAATGGACAGCTCAGAATCAATTAGACGATTTGGACTTCGCAGATGACCTAGCCCTCCTATCACGTACACACGAACAGATGCAGATGAAGACAGCCAGTGTAGCAGCAGTCTCTACATCAGTAGGCCTCAGCATACACAAAGGGAAAACCAAGGTCCTCAAATTCAAAGCAGAAAAGAGCAATCCAATCACTCTTGATGGCGAAACTCTGGAAGATGTAGAGTCCTTCACATACTTAGGAAGCATCATCGATGAACAAGGAGGTTCAGATGCAGATGTAAAGGCAAGGATTGACAAAGCAAGGACAGCATTCCTACAGTTAAAGAACATATAAAACTCAAAACAACTTTCAACCAATATCAAAGTGAGAATCTTCAATACCAACGTCAAGGCAGTTCTACTGTATGGAGCTGAAACTTGGAGAACTACAACAACCACAATCAAGAAAGTACAAGTATTTATAAATAGCTGTCTACGCAAGATACTCAACATCCATTGGCCGGATACCATCAACAATAGCCTTCTGTGGGAGAGAACAAAACAACTTCCAGCTGAAGAAGAAATTAGGAAAAGACTATGGAAATGGATAGGACATGCACTACGCAAATCGTCAAACTGCATCACGAGGCAAGCCCTAACTTGGAATTCTGAAGGGAAGCGGAACAGAGGAAGGCCAAAGAACACATTACGTCGGTTAATAGAAGCAGATATGAAAAGGATATATAGGAACTGGAAGGAGCTAGAAAGCATTGCCCATGACAGGGTTGGATTGAGAATGCTGGTGAGCGGCTTATGCTCCTTCACGAGGAGTAACAGGCGTAAGTAAGTAAGTAAGTAAGTAACCAATTAATGCCTCCTGAAACGTCTACTTATCAAGTGGCCTCCTCATGAAACGATCAAGAACTGCTCCTCGTCGATTTAACACGAGAAAAAATGTGTCTCCGCATAAGGACTCAAAGGAAGGTTAGATGAGCCGAGAGATATGTTTGGTAACACTAGCTCAGGCCTTTCAGCCTTCATTCAAAAACTTAAGTTCGTTTGCTGATAATTTCTGTAGAATCATTATATATTTATATAGCGTCACATTGTAATTCCTCAAGCCACCGATAGTTTTTCTTCCGTTTCTTTTGGACATGTTCTTGAAAAGACATCGATTACAATATTGTACAGTGTATATTGTAACTGTGGCATTTAAGTTTAGAGGAAGTATTTTGCCGCGGTATTCGGTAGTTGGGGATGAAGGCGTTAATTGGTTTGTTTACATTTGTCGGGATTTACTTAATGCATCATCGGGAATTATTGCTGCATGTTCTATATATGTATAAATATCTTTTATTTGTCTAGCGACATATATTTATGAGTTGCACCTCCTTACTACACAAATCTGTTTAATTAGTCTGCTCCGTGAATATGATTATTATTGTGTTCAAATGCTGAGTAATCAAATGAAGATCAATAGTTAATCCTACATTACACTAATCTGGACTTATATACATTTACTCTTCGTAAGCTTGGAACTTAAAAAAAGTAGTTGTCAACGTCCGGGTTGTCGTTATCCTGTTGAAAGCGGCATGCAGTGCGACGAGTGCAAAGGCTGGTACCACGAAGTTTGCACGAACTTAACGCCTGCTGCTTTCAAACGGTACAGTAAGAAGGGTTGTGTGTGTCTTTGTCAACAGTGCTGCTCGGATGCCAACAGTTTGCTAACCGAAGCCATCTCACTGGTTGATGCTGCAAAGAAGTGCTTTAGCAAGCATAGTCGAAACGCGTCAAACAGCACTCGATCTGTCGACACGCAAATCAACGTGAAGGAAACTAAGGTTAGTTCGGTGATAGATGACTCACGCCCGTCAAAGAAGGAAAAGCAGTCTCCAAAGAGGCCTGCCTTAAACAAAAGCTCAAGAAAAGTAGGGTCTTCTGCTCCCCGTCTCCCAGATGGGATCCAACAGGAAACACCTAGAAGCCGCAATCGCAAGGCTCGATCGGTTTCAAACGGTAAACATAACACGACCCCTCAGGTCGTCGACAACCCCCCAAAACCCAACACTAGGTTTGACGCAACTGTTATTGCTTCTACCAGCACCGTTGACGAATGGGTAAAGGTTGTGAGGAAGAAAAGTAGGGATATAAAAGGGAAACCTGCCCCCGTAAAAGTGGCTAAAAAATCGAAAGCTGATCATAGCGACAGATCAGCTATTTTTCATAGAATCAAGGAGAGCGATAGCTCTGAACCTAAAGCTCGTTTTGAGCATGACATTGTACTGATTAGGCAGCTGCTTAATCAACTCATGCCTCAAAATATGACCGGGGTCACCTTGCTAAAGGTGTACAGACTAGGGAGTCTAACGGACTCGAAACCAAATCATTCCAGACTGCTTAAAGTAGTATTCGGCTCTTCGAACGAACGTGACCAAATTTTACAAAATGGGCACAAATTAAAGGGTTCAGGAGTCTTTATCCGAAAGGACCTACCGTTGGCAGACCGTGTTAAAAGACGGGAAGCCGAGAAAGAACTACAACATAGGTTAGACGCTGGCGAAAAGGACCTGAAAATTGTAAATTTTCGGGTTGTAAGACTTCGATAGAGAATGATGCCGAAGCCACTCTGGGTGAAGCACGAAGGCACTTAAACAGGCTTCGGATCTGTTACACCAATGCACGAAGCTTACTTAATAAGCGATCGGAACTAGGTGTACAGATTGACTCTACAAAGCCAGACATAATCGCAGTAACAGAAACCTGGCTGACACAGGCTATAGATAGTATAGAACTTGATTTCGAAGGCTTTACGTTAGTAAGGGCCGACAGAACACAAAAGCGCAAAGGAGGGGGAGTAGCTCTATTCATTAGGAATGCTATCCCATTTACCATTATCGATAGTGTATCCCATGAGAGTGGAACGTGTGAATTAGTTAGTCTTCGCCTAAAATGCAAGGGACAAGAGCTGCTGATTGGTTTGGTCTATCGCAGTCCAAGCTGTGAGGCAAATGAGATCCTGTTAAGCAGTCTCAATACTTGGTCCCAAAGTGGTCGATGTCTAATCCTAGGGGACTTTAACGCACCTATGGTAGACTGGGAAAATCTGCGAACTAAATCGTCGGAGAATTCTTTCGAGCAGGAACTAGTTGATGGGATTATCACATGTGCTCTAGTACAACATGTGAAAGAAGCGACAAGGTACGATCCGGACACTGAATCATCCTTATTAGATCTTATACTGACTCACTATGAGGATGATGTTGCGAACCTCCAACATATGCCACCCTTAGGTAAAAGTGACCACGCAGTTTTAACTTTCGACTTCCATATAACTGTCAGTCATGAGGACGCGTCAGTCCAGTCCAGACCCAACGTCTGGAAAGCAAACATACCAGCCATCATGCACTCAGCATCGTTAATAGATTGGACAATAGACTCAGAGTCCTCCATTGAAACGGCCTGGGACGCATTTCGAAATTCATACTTAAAAGTTACCACACCTCACATCCCTTGGACTATACCAAAGGGGCCGAAAAACTCACCACCATGGCTCAGTAGGGAAGTCCGTATCCTTCTCCGTAAGAAAAGCAAAATGTGGGATAGATTTAGGTTACTGGGGACTGATGAGTCAAAATCTCAGTATAGAAAGGCTCGGAACACTTGTGCCTCGACCCTCCGTAAGTCTAGAAAATTGTACGAAGAAAAACTTGTTAAGGAATCCATAGAATGTCCTAAACGCTTGTATTCCTATATAAACCAAAGGACAAGGAGAAAAGGAAATATTCCTGCTCTATAGGGAGACAGTACTGCTTCATCATTAGTGGAGGACGACTTTGGTAAGGCTCAAGCGTTCTCGAACTACTTTAGCAACGTGTATACCATAGAAGCGCCCTTCTCGTCAGTGTATACAGATCCCCCCATACATACACTGGATAGCGTGACCATTAAAGAACTCGATGTCTTTGGTCTGCTAAATAAGCTTGACATAGGTAGATCCACGGGGCCCGATGAATTACATCCTAGGCTACTAAAGGAATTATCTAACTTCGTTGCAAGCCCTTTAAGTACATGCTTTAACCTATCCGTTACGCAGGGTCGCTTACCGAAAGATTGGAAAAACGCCATAGTAAGTCCTGTCTTCAAAACAGGTACGAAACACAAATCTGAGAACTACCGCCCCGTTAGCCTAACTAGTGTGGTTGTTAAAATATTAGAAAAGATTATTAGGGAGGAGTTGTTTAAGTATCTCGATAAAAACCGGATCCTCTCGGAGAAGCAGCACGGCTTCAGAATAGGTTATTCTTGTCTCACTAACTTATTAGTGACTCGTGAAAGCTGGTGCGCTCTTAAGGACCAAAAGCTACCTGTAGACGTCGCCTTCATTGATTTCAGTAAAGCTTTTGATAAAGTTCCGCACAACCGGCTGTTATTTAAGTTAAGAAAAGTCGGGATTGGAGGCAATTTATTGATGTGGATAAAAGACTTCTTAGTTGGGCGTCAACAAAGAGTTCGGGTGAACTCAAGGTTATCTAGCTGGGAAACTGTGCTTAGTGGAGTGCCCCAGGGTACAGTTTTGGGGCCAGTGCTATTCCTCTTGTATGTAAATGACCTTCCTTGTCTCCTATCATCACCGGTCTTGCTATGTGCTGACGATGTCAAGATATGGAAAACAATACGATGTAAGAGTGATAGCTTAGAACTTCAAAATGACCTGAAGAAGTTATCTGAATGGTCTCAAACATGGCAGTTGCCGATAAATACTTCCAAGTGTGTTGTGATGCATATCGGTCATCAAGGCACAGATACATACACGATGGATAACACTGAGCTACCTGTCGTCCAGACATATAATGACTTAGGCGTTATCGTTAGTCAAGACTTAAATACTACTGCACACTGCCGTGCAATAGCCGCCAAAAGTTTTAGATCGTTATGGTCAATACGTAGGCCTTTTAGTCATGTCGACGCTAAGACGTTTTTGACTTTGTATACAGTGTTCGTTCGTCCTAAACTTGGGTACTGCATACAAGCGGCTAGCCCCAGCTTAAAAAAAGACAGTGAGCTTCTGGAAAAGGTTCAGAGAACGGCGACTAAGCTGGTTCCCGGAATAGCGAAGCTTCCGTATGAATCTCGACTGGCCAAGCTGAACCTTTTCCCGTTATCATATCGCAGAACTAGAGGTGACTTGATTACAGTCTACAAATTGCTTAGTGATAAATTTGCACCTAACATGCCCTCATTTTTCTTGTCTTCCAAAACAGAGAATTTACGAGGACACTCCAAAAAAGTTCACAAGCCGAGAACAAATTACTTGTCAGCTGACTATCGACTTTCCCATCGAATCATCAACGAGTGGAATTCACTACCTCAGCACGTGGTTGAGGCTCCATCCGTCGACTCTTTCAAAAGAAAGTTGGATCAACTGAGAGACCACCATTGCCAGGACTAACATAGGCCATCGAGCCTTCTGTCCTTCCCAAACTGAAACTTCCCAACCATCGAGTCAATGTATACAAATAGCCATTTTGTGTAAAAACCCGACTAAGCGTAGACTCAGCTGAAAATGCTACAACATAGTCCTCTCTCTTATTACTTTTCAGCTTCTTAATAATGCTTAAAATCGATGAATCTGTCTGCCTTTAAGTTAATAGGTGGCAAATTTAACAAGACTAAACCCCATTTAAACTCCCTAAACTTAGACTTCCAGTTTCCTAGTCACTTGAATTAAATTGAGATTATTGGTTTTATATCTTTCATTATCTACTGGTTAGTACAGCTGAATATAGGAAATCCATCGATAACTTCCTTGGCGTAGATTCTCAACAAACAGTATAACCAGCTTCTCCATAAAACTTCATAGAAATTCTAGTAAAAATAGTCAGTAGCATTCATGGAATTTATTTATATCATTTATTTGAACACAGATAATGGTACAAGAGGACACCAAATACATAAACGCCACATAAATCTCATTTGATTTGTGTGAGGGCTGTGATACTACCCGGGTACCCGAACGAAAGCATGTGATTTTCTTAGGCGGCCACACCCAGAGACTGACCTAAAGGTCTGATCCACAAGGCAGTGGAGCATCGTAAGAAGATGCAATCCCATGGTAGCCGGTGACCAACAATTGGTTCATACACCATTTGTTCACTTAGGATACTGGAGCTCATGTGCACCATTGGTTTGGAATGAGGGTTTTCCAACTCCTCTAGGTGGACTCTCCATGTCCACCAACCTAGCTAAAGCGCCGGACATTCGCTTTTCGTCCTCTCAATTTCGTAAACAACACCCATAGTGCAAAAAGGCAGTAAGTAGGAGTTCCCTGACAGAGACTACATACGCGTGGTCATGTGAGGGCATTTCGAGAAGGAGAACTAACTCTCTCCACTCTCTGCTATATCAGGGCATTTGCGGGTATTCATGGAAACACTTCTTAAAACTGTCCTGTTCCTTGTCTTTAATAATTGAATACCCATATAAGTTCTTCTATACAACTATATAATGTGAATTACAATGAATACCTTTAAATTTCTTTGATACTTATCAGGGTTTTTTTCTTCCTTTTTTTAACACAGAAAAGTGTACATCAGAAAAAAATACACAAGATAATTGGGATTTAATTTTAGAAATTTGTGAAAAATACGCTAAACAAGAGTAAGAATTTTTTTATTTTCAATTGTCTAGTTACACAGGCCAGCAATTTGTATTCAAACAATATGTAAACGAATATTTCATAAAAATCCAAATGTATCTATTCGATCTATAACAGTAAGTATACTATACTATTTATACAGATGATTTCCCCTTCTTTCCCTTCCCCTCCCCCCCCAAAAAAAGTTATTAGATGCATGCAGTAAAAATTGTGGTAAACAATTTAATAGAGAATTAGCTTCAAAAGATTTTTCACAATTAATCAAGAAAAATTTCTCTGTAATCATAATTCTTATTTTATTCAAAGTGATTTCATTGTAGAGTTTACAACGTATTCCATCTATTAAATTAATTGATATCTTTGAAAAATGGTCAATTGAATTTAAAAATGATTCAGAATTAGCGTATGTTCTATTATTGTTCATTTTAATAGACTTCTTTATTCTAGATTAGCAGCTAGTTTTTATAATTGGGTTAAAACTGAATATCCAGATCTTGTGAAACAAGCAATGAATGAAAGACAAGTTAGTTTAAGAGAATATTCCCATGAGATTAAAATTATTTCATATATATATTACTTTTTAACGAACGAATTCTTTCTTCCAGTACTATATACATCCTCATAGACAATCTTTCTCTTATATATTACCACCACTGAATTAACTACTTCTATGAATTCGGTGTTCATTTTGCTGTGCTAATGAGGTATAGCAACTTGGATCGATGCATATATGTGCCTGCTCTTATGTTGTAGCTGACTGACTGTTCCTGTAGTGTCATGCTTATTTATATGCAACTATTTTAGTAATATCTCGGTTGTTATGTGTTTTGTTTTTCTCTACACAAAACATCTTTACAGACTTATAAAAGAAACTGGAATTAATAAATCAAGTGTAAGTCAGACTATTTGGGAAAAAGACGACACCCTCATCTGCTCCCAGTCCAGACGTTTAGAACGATGGGCGGAACATTTCAGAGAACAGTTCAGCTGGCCTTCAGCTACTCTACAACTACTCTCCATTCCCAGACAGTGTGAATGGAACATTGAAGTAGGTCCCTCAACTCTAGTAGGATTTCAAAAGCCTATAGTTAATCTGAAACGAGGAAGGGCAGCTGGTCCAGATGGATTGGCTCCAGAAGTCTTTAAGGACGGTGGTCCAATTTTAGCGATTAGGTTGATTAATATTTTAGCTAAAATCTGAGAGTTAGACGTTATCTCACCTGACTGGTCACAATCACTTATCGTCCCAATAAATAAGAGGGTTAAAATCATCCTGTGACAACCATAGAGGGATTAATTTAACTAATATAGTATTTAAAATACTAGCCTCTATAATTATCAGACGTCTAACTAAGACTCGTGAACTGCAAACCCGAGAGAATCAAACTGGCTTCAGACCTGGTCGTGGCTTCATCGACCACATATTCACCATTCGTCAGGTTCTAGAGCATAGGCATACTTATCGGCGTCCGACAATGGTGGTCTTTCTTGACTTAAAGGCAGCATTTGACTCGGTAGACCGCGAGATTCTGTGGCAGTGTCTGTCATTGAAAGGCGTACCTCAGAAGTACATAAACCTTGTAAAGGCTCTTTACTCGAACACTACTAGTCGAGTCAGAGCTTATGGCGAACTGTCATCTGCTTTTGCAACCTCAAGTGGTGTCCGTCAAGACTGTCCACTTCCTCCATATTTTGTTTGTTATTATTTATTTATTTCAACACATAGATAATGGTACAAAGAGGCACCAAATACATATGCGCCACACAAATCTCATTCGATATGTGTGAGGGCTGTGATACTGCCCGGGTGCCCAAACCGAAGCAGGTGGTTTTCTTAGGGGGCCACTCCCCGAGCCTTCGACCTGAAGGTCTGATCCACAAGGCAGTGGAGCATCGTAAGGAGATGCAGTCCCATGGTAACCGGTGACCGAGAATTGGTTCATACGACATTTCTTCCCGCAGGATACTGGAGCCCATGTGCACCATTGGTTTGGAATCCGGTTAAAGGCGCCGGACATTCGCTTTTCGTCCTCTCATTTTCGTAAACAACACCCCCGCCACGAGAAGGCAGTGAGTAGGACTTCCCTGGCAGAGGCTATATACGCGTGGCCGTGTGAGAGTATTTCGAGAGGGAGAGCGGACTCTCCCCACTCTCGGCCGTACCAGGGCATTTGGGGGCTTCATCATGGACCTACTGATGGAAATAACATTCTCGTCGACTGAATTCTCGGGTATTGATCTCCTTCCAGGAAGTCAACTTATCGACATAGAACACGTAGATGATATAGTCCTGTTTGGTGAAGACGCTGATAAAATGCAGAGTCTTCTGGTAGCACTATGGAACAATGCCAGAATGTTTGGGATGCGCTTCTCGCCCTCTAAATGCAAGTTGTTGCTTCAGGACTGGTCTGCGTCAACACCTGAACTAAGGATAGAGAGCGAAGTAGTTGAACGCGTTAACAACTTCACTTATCTTGGAAGTCTGATCAGCCCTAATGGGTTGGTGTCTGACGTAATCAGCACGGATTCAAAAAGCACGTTTGACTTTTGCCAACTTACGTCACCTTTGGCGAAGGCGAGATATCCGTCTATCAATAATAGGACGAGTATACTGCGCGGCAGCCGTTCTGTTTTAATTTACAGCAGCGAAACATGGCCTTTAAGAGTAGAAGACACCCGTAAGCTACTAGTATTTGACCATAGATGCCTTAGAAATATTGCTGGCATCTGCTGGGATCACCGGGTAAGTAATAGTGAGGCTAGACTCAGGGTATTAGGTAATGATGGTAAATCAGTTGATGAGGTTGTTAATCTTCATCGACTGAGATGGTTGGGCCACGTGTTACGTATGCCTGAACACCGATTACCACGTCGTGCAATGCTAACAGGTATTAGAGATGGTTGGAAGAGAATTAGGGGCGGCCAAACCAAAACGTGGCATCAGTGCTTGAAGTCACTAACTTCTAGTCTGAGCCATGTTGGTAGATGCAGACTACTTGGTTGGGGTCCGCGTGACTCGTAACCAATGGTTGGAGACTCTTGGTGACATGGCTCAGAATCGGTCACAATGGCGTCGGTGCATACACTCCCTGTCTTCTATTAAACTAAGAGATTAAAATCGCTTCATATCTTTCTTTCTACGAACTAATTATATATTCCGGTACTGTATCCTTATATGCAATCTTTCTCCTATATATTACCACCTTTGACTTAAAAACTCCTATGAATCCAGTGTTTATCTTGTTGTGCTAATGAGGTGTGGCAACTTGTACCGATGCATATATGTGCCTGGTCCTAATTTGCAACTGACTGACTGAGACTGCTTTTAAGTATGTTTCGGTAAAGTTCAATAGTGAATTATTGTCGTAAGTGGTTATCTCAAGTTGTGTTCACTAAACTTGATATGGCAACTTGAGCTGGCGTACATTTATCCCTGGGTTTACACTGACTGACTAACTAACTGAAGAGGCCTACCGTCAGTTACTATTTACCTTCCTTATTGATCTACTACAAATGACAGTCTCTTTTCAACATTTAGTGAACTGCTTTTTAGCATTAAATCATTGTAGCCTATCAAAAGTTCATAACGTATCTACTATTAGGTGTAAGCTCTAGCAAAATTCCGAATTTCCAATACTTTAAATAACAATATAAGCATATCTAAGATACATTTCTCACCTTGAAAACTGAAGAATATTGTCTCACAACTAACCTGAATCACCATCTAGTGTAACAATAATAGATGAAATCATTTAGCGAATATAGATCACTGTACTCATCAGAATCTTAATGAATGCCCAAAAGTTGGTCAGGTTTTTAATAACATCATCCATTTCTAACATCTAAAATATTCAAATACTTGTCGCAAGGTAAATGTATTGCACAGTAGTCTACATTTTTCTCACTCTATTTGTACAACATAATCATTGAATAATGAAGGTAATCAAATGTTTTTGGAGGTACCTAATCGTAAATGTCACGTTATATTCATTTTACTTTCATCATTAGTATAAGGTATCTTTTTGGGAAACCTTATGGATACCTAATTGTACATTTCTCCTACTTCCGTAATTAATCGTTCAAGCTATGAACAAGCGAGTGTCGAAAAGCGCTACTTGACTGCGTATCCTAACCATCTGTGTTTACTATTAGTTAATAACTATCAACAAAATATCACGGACTTGTAATAATATTATGATCGGATAATGTCGATGCCATTTTTCAAGTTCCAGTTATGGAAATTGTTATGTCTTGTAATCGCTAATTTGTTATGGCTCCAAATACTAATTGGTATCTTGTGCTATATTCTCAAATCAAGATTCAAACTCTCGATTAGTTCAATTATATTGCCGGTAGAACCGGTGACCTATTTACTAATTGACCAATGAACAACAACGATATCTTAACGTTTATTGGTCCTCGAGCTCCTTCCAAGTCAGTTGTCAATCAGAATATGCGAATAAGAGGTAGATTAGATCTTTATTTTATTCAATTCAATTATGACTCAAAGCACTCAATCATCTACCTGAAGAGCTTGACCACATAGTACACAAAATAAGAAATCACAGTTTAATCACAATCATATCCAAAAGTAATAGAGGGTGGAGCAAAAAGTATATAATTAGCAATAACTAAAGAATGACAAAATGTATTATGACAGTTGATAGGTGCACTGAATGTTTAAAATACGAGTAATATAAAGATACGATGATAAATTTATCAGCTAGTTACGCAATAAAAATATAAATCATTCAAAAAAATAGCCTTGAAAGTTCTGAATTTTTCCTATATTCGTCCTGTTATTCATATAAACAATCTATTGTGTGTTGTAATGCATGTCTTCATCATGCCGATTACTTTATTCGTAAAGGAAGTATACGACATAATAATTATCTTTCCTAGTATTTTACTTTAACAGATAGTTAAACATGGTCCTTCACGCCAACATGTTGCACAATTACAGGCTAAAGAAGAAGAAGATTTAGCACAAGGTAAATAACCTTTATATTATAAATTTCATTCGAATGGTTTCCCCTTATTATATATTATCATTCTATTTACAATAAATTTTTATATAGCTTTATCTTTGTATATGTTTTAAAAATGTTCGAAGCTTATCAACACAAAGAAACGTCTAAGTTACGGATTGTTATACTTACTTACTTACTTACGCCTGTTACTCCTCGTGAAGGAACATAGGCCGCTCACCAGCATTCTCCATCCAACCCTGTCCTGGGAAATCCTTTTCAGCTCTTTGCAGTTGTTATTCATCTTTTTCATGTCTACTTCTATTTCCCGACGTAATGTGTTCTTTGGCCTTCCTCTTTTCCGTTTCCCTCCAGGATTCCAAGTTAGGGCTTGCTTCATGATGCAGTTGTTTTGAGTTCCATATGTTCTTCAATTGAAGGAATGTGGCCCTTGCTCTGCCGATCGTCGCCTTTACGTCTGCGTCTGAACCTCCCTGTTCATCGATGATACTTCCAAGGTATGTGAAGGATTCTGCATCTTCCAGAGTCTCACCATCAAGAGTGATTGGATTGCTGTTCTCTGTGTTGTTTTTGTGTATTTTGAGACCTACACGGATTGTTATACTGCTCAATAATTTGAGAAAAAATGAATCAATCGAAATTCTTATTTATTCTTCTCAGGTTCAAGTATGCTAGTTCATCTATCGACTAATTGCTTAACTTGATAAATGATAAACATCTAGGCTATTATGAGTTAACATTGATCACTGATAAGTTAGTCTTACAAGATTTTGAACGTATGCCCTTCTTCTAGCTCAGTTTTCAGTTAAATGGTTAAATATAACATACAGTGACATGGCTCAAAATTGATCACAATGGCGTCGGTGTATACACTCTCTATCTTCTCTTAAACTAAGAGATTAAAATCAGTTCGTATCTTTCTTTCTACGAAATAATTCGTTCTTCCTCTACTATATCCTTATTGCAATCTTTCTTTTATATATTACCCCTTCTGGATTAACTACTTCTATGAATTTGTTGTTCATCTTGTTGTGCTAATGAGGTATGGCAACTTGTACCGATGCATATATGTGCCTGGTCCTACATTGTAGTTGACTGACTTTCATTACGATAGTATGGAATTATTTCCTGATCTGTACATCAACATGAATGATAAATTACAGCACAGGCATAACTATATCAAAAGTGAAAGTAAGAAAAAGTTGGGTTTATAATCAACTATAACTAAGGAATAATAAATTATATAACGATAATTAATGGATCCATGAATAGTTTATAATAGTTTTAATGTATAAGGCAATAGTAAACACAGTTATCTAATTATTATGCAATAAAAATGTGAATGATAATCCGCAAATTAGTTCCAATATCTCCAATATTCAATCCGTTATAACACAAATAGTGTCTTCCTTGAATTTCAGTATTCTTTCATTCATATACCTATTCACTCAGTGTTTCCAAAGATTTAGTATTTCTTTTTATCACTCCTACTAAACTATTCCAATCACTTGTATGGGGAACTTGGGCTAACATACATGTGTCAGGTTTCATATTGATAATATCTGTTTGTTTACATCATTTTGACTTTTACTATTTGTTTTTTCAATAACTAAAAGTTTCACAACCATTTAGTTGGGTATAGATAACCTGGTTGGTGTTCATGTTCAAAAACGTTGTCAACAGAGCAGGTTGTTGAAACGTCGGCTTGCTAATATGTTGAGGCTAATGTCCTCAATATCTGACTCCAATAAATAATATCTCCGTAAACTGAGTATTTAAGGTAGGCTTAATCTCCTAGTCGAATTACGGATTTACTCGAGATTATTCAGAAGCTTGAACACCAGTTGTAAAGATAATTTATTGTTAATGAATAATAAAAATCCACAAGCGTACGGTGAGCAAGCACACGGTGAAGCCAAGTAAAAATGACACGCATGGAAGATGGCTGGGAAGCCAACTCCATTTTAGTCAAGAGTTACTCCATATTTATAGTCAGACAAAACAAAGCTACAGACATGTGATTAATGCGATAAGAAGGGCACACACATATACGCTCATATAAAAACAATCAAGGCTAATAAGCGAATAATTGACAAGGTCAAAATATGGCTCGAGTAGGATGAATAAAATAGGATGTCCGCAAGTTAGAATAAGGTACATGGACTTGCCATAATAATTGACACTACAAGGTGCATTTACTCTTATCTCTTGGAGCCTGACATCTTATGGCTTTTTTTACAACTACTGTTACTGTTAGTGATTCTTGATAATATTCTCTTGTTGTGCTATTGTAATGTGACAACTTAAGTTGACGCGTACATATGTCAGGTTCTATATTACATATGGCTGACTGAATAATCTTCTTTTATTTGTGATTAGATTTTAGTAGCGATAAACACTATCTGAACATTCTTGCACTGTCATTCTAAGCATTTGAATATTGCATTGTATTAGCTTCATATAAAACTGTGTTATCCATGTACTTCCGGTTAAAACGGTGCGGGGTCCTCAGATAGACAGTCAATCTGTAGATATTCATGAATAGATCTGCAGAAAAATGTTAATTTAAAATTGATCAACGCTAATGCTCAGTTTCATTATGTGCTGTACATTACATGTTTTGCGAACAATGATATTTTGTTTTCTGTCGGAGATAGATATGTTGTTAATTTTTTAATCCCAGTTTTACGTATTTCTATTTATCCTTTCAATAGCTATTGCTTTATCACTGAAAGATACTGACAGTTCAACTCCATCTCATCTAAACAAGCAATCTGTTTCCACTTCAAATGAGAAGTCTAGTTTATATCCTTCCTGCTCTCAACTTCCATTTAGTTCACTTTCAACTTATTCGACACCAGCATCATCATCAAATGCCTCTAAAACAACTGCTCCTCGTAATTCAAAGGGACAGGTAAGAGCATTGTACGACTTTGAAGCAGCTGAAGACAATGAATTATCATTCAAAGCTGGAGAGCTTATTCTACTCTTAGATGATTCCGATGAGAACTGGTGGTTGGGAAGCAATAATCAAGGTCAAGGTTTATTTCCTGCTCAATTTGTCAAACGTGAAACTGAACTTGATGGAGTAAATAATGTCAAATCAAGTTCAAGCGAAGTTTCTCACAATACAGATGTTAAAAAGAACCAATCTACCAAAAAAATTGTCCCCCAACTTGATGAGAAAAAAATCGATGAATGTTTACGTCTAATTACAACTGTAGATCCTACTGGTGAATTTCAACAAGATCCACCAGAATTAAGTCAACTTGAAGCAGAATGTATAGCAATGGTCCCACTTGTTGATCCTGAATTAAAATTAGTTGATAAAGAAATTATTATGCTTACAGAATTAAATCAACGTTTATTAGATGCATTTCAATTGTATCATGATATCATGTCACGTCAGAATTCGTCAAATGCTTATTATACCGGAATGTCCAATACTATTGCTAACACCACAACCAACCCAGTAAATCCAACAATCCCTTATTTACCACCAAATACTCCGAATATATATCCATACACCCAGCCAACATCGTCAATGACTAAATCTGCATCTGCAGTACCTATGGTATGTATGTACTATTTATTACTATTATTATTACGTGATCACCTTGGTCCGTAATTCACTTGTTCATTTTTATTGCTACATAACTAGTTGAGCGATAAAAATCTGATGTTTCTTTTTGTTGTTGTCATGAGTGTTGACCTACATATTGTATTATTTTCATTGGGAATTTATTTACGTAACTGATTGATATATCTATCAATGATCTTCAAAATCATCACACTGAATACTAGATTTTGTAGAGGTTCCGTTTAATTTGAGAGTGAAAGATCGACGAGTTGGAGTCGAGACTTCACCAAATCCTCTGGTACAGCTGAGGGTGTGGATAATCCGCTCTCCCTCTCCGAATGCTCACATAGCCACACGTACGTACATGCCCTGTTCGCTGGCTTCTCACAGCAGGGGCGTTTCTTACGAAATTGAGAGGAGAAAAAGCAAATGCCCAGTGGGGGGCTTAAACCGGGTTGGTGGGTAAAGAGGATCCATCTAGAAGAGTTGAAAAAGTCTTTGGTACGGCTTTTAATAATAGTACTTTAGAACCTCGAGGTAAACAGAGTCGAGCCTGCCGTAAGGTCAAGGAATACCACTATAGTTGGTCGTCGGAAAGTATGTCTGTGTCCCAAAACCTGGTGAAGAGTGAATATTTAGTCAATACAACCAGGTCGGGTACAAATTGACACTAAACTGCACTTCTAACAGTAGTATCCTTGATGTTATGTCATAATCATCATGTTCATTCAATTTAATAAACGATTATTTTCATCCAGATTTTGCTCAGTATTATGCTTCTTCTATAGTTTTGCAACCACCTTCATGATTGTACGTCTCTTCAATCTTTAAAGAGAACTTTGTGCTTTTTATTCAAAGCACGTTATTCTATGTTGAATTCCTCCATGATTAACTCAATTGAATGATAAAACATTTTTCACATATTATTTTTTTAGAATGGATTCACTATGCCAACAGATTTGAATGGAACTGTGATGTTCCCTCCTACTGACTCTTACCCTATGTCAACTGGAATTTATGCAAATCCACAAACAGAAACTTTCAGTGGTAATCTTCCTCAAAATCTTCATAGTGGTCAAATATCATCTCAACCCTTTTCTGTACAGCAGTTTTATGAATCAAGTCAAATAGTACCTCCTGATGTTGTTACACAACAAATGCAGTCATATCCATCTGGCAGTAACAATTATGGAGGTAGGTATGAAGAGTATACGTGTGTGTTTTTAAAATCGCTTTCTTCCGTTCCCTCTCTTTACCCCTTCCATCATCCTCATCCATCTCTTTCTTTTTTTTCTAATGTAGTTCCAATTTATCCAATGAATGATTCTCAATCTATGGTGTATACAGATCAGTCAAACAACACCTTCTCAACTCAGAGAAATCAATAACAACCGTAGGTTTCATCTAGTTTCATTTTAAAAAATGGTAAGTTCTATGTTTGTTTTGTTTTTTCATTTCAATGTCAGTCAGCTACAACATAGGACCAGGCACATATATACATCGGTCCAAGTTGGCATACCTCATTAACACAACAAGATGAACAACAAATTCATAGAAGTAGTTAATCCAGAGGGGGTAATATATAAAAGAAAGATTGTAATAAGGATATAATAGAAGAAGAAAGAACTAATTCGTATATTTCATTATACCAGTTTCTAATGTATGACCATAATGTAGACCTTCATCTCTATCATAAACTTGAACTGTTCTCATAGTTTTATTTTATCGTATTGTCGTAGAGCGGTAACTTAGTGATTAAGGTGTTCGACTTTAGTTTAAACTCCTCTCCACCTACTTCAGTTTGCCCAACTAGGTTGTAGTATCGTTAACTTTTACATTTAGAGTGTAGCTCATTTTCAAATACCTGGTCAATAATTAATACTGCTATTTAAATAAGGTAATGATGAAATTCAGTATAAATTCTATTTTATCGTTCATTGATATCCTAAACAGAAATAGTGTGTTTCTCAGATCTGATTAAGTTTTCCTATTTATTTAAATACACAAACATTGATACAGTGAGATACCAAAATATTTATGCACTACACAAAGTAATTATCACTAAATTTGCTTATGGGCTGGGATAATGCCCAGGTGCCCAAATCGAGGCAAGCGGTTTCCACAGGGGGCCACCAACGACCTAGCCTTTGACCTAGAGGTTTTATCCACAAGACACTGGACCAACGTTAGTAGGTACCATGGTAGTCGGTGATCGAGAATAGGTTCATACACCATTTATCCCTACATGGTCCTGGAGTCCATGTGTATCATTGGTCTGGAATCAAGATTTTCCAACTCTCCTAGATGGATCCTTTTTACCCACCAACCCGGTTTAAGCCTCCATTGGACATTGGCTTTTTCTCCTCTCAATTTCGTAAACAACACTCCTGCTGCGGGAAGGACGTCTTTGATAATGGGTATGTAGTAGTATGTACGTACGCGTGTCCATGCACGAGAATTTGGAGAGAACTCTTCCCATCCTTGGCCTAACCAGGGCATTTAGCAACCTAGATGTACACCATGTAAAAAGTGATAAGCATTTGTGTTCAAGTAATCATTAATTATCGTTTTATGCGTAGTATATCCAGATTATTGAATGAGAAAGAAACGGTTTCATAGAGGATTTCATCCAGGAAGTATGCATTCTACTTCACATCAGTTGCTTGATAATCATAATAACCACCATCACTATAAGGGTGAATGAGTATTTACTCAATTGTGTGGCTAGTCTTCACTTTTCTCCTCGATACTAACCAGCCTGAAATGTCCTGGTACGGCCGAGAGTGGGGAGAGTCCGCTCTCCCTCTCGAAATACTCTCACATGGCCACGCGTATATTAGCCTCTGCCAGGGAAGTCCTACTTACTGGCTTTTCGTGGCGGGGGTGTTGTTTACGAAATTGAGGGGACGAAAAGCGAATGTCCGGCGCTTTAACCGGATTCCAAACCAATGGTGCATATGGGCTCCAGTATCCTGCGGGAACAAATGGCGAATGAATCAATTGTTGGTCACCGGCTTCCATGGGACTGCATCTCTTTACGATGCTCCACTGCCCTGTGGATCAAACCTTCAGGCCGAAGGCTCCGGGTGTGGCCCTCTAAGAAAACCACCTGCTTCGGTTTGGACACCCGGGCAGTATCACAGCCCTCACACATATCGAATGAGATTTGTGTGGCGCATATGTATTTGGTGCCTCCTTGTACCAATATCTATGTGTTAAAATAAATAAATTAAAATAAACGTATACATACATCAAATAACCCTTAATTTTAAACTTCTCATTAGTATTCCATCGTTAAATTGTAATCGATTTTATTTTCTCTCTTCAGCTAGGAATCCTGAGAACCATTTTACTCATGAAAATGAAAGATATGCTATCAAGACGGGTTTTGTTCTGTTTTTCACAAAAGAAAAGTTTCATTCCTTCGATATAATAAATAAATGATTTCTTTTATAAACAGTTAAGTAAGCTCTAATAAACTTTAACCGTTTTCAATTTGTCTTTCATTCTCAACTACTACTCACTACTAGTAGTAGTTCATCTGTTTGTTTGTTTTTTGTCTGTAAACTTCTATCAAATTATCTTCATCTTATCATTTGTGATTTCATTAAATATAATTCTTATAAATAATTGTAATTATTCATTGTACTTACATAAGTAAATGGGATTTCATTAATACCTTTTTATTCAAATGATTCATAATTACAATGATTAAGATCATGAGTCAGTTGAAGCCAGATCACCATGGAAAACCCGGAAGTACTGGACAGCCATTTCGTCCTACTGTAGGACTCCTTGGCAGTGCTCATCCACGACCTCGCCCTCTGAGAGACCCGAACCCAAGACCTACTGGTTTCGCGCACGAGAACTTAACCACTAGACCACTGAGCCGGCATCCAACGGTGTTAATGTCTAACTTCAACTAATCCACGAAATTGAGCGACACATCCACCATTGTCCTCAGTGAGTTACTATCTCACAACAGACCTGGTTGGACTCCACTAGTCACTACTTCTCAGTAGAACTCCAGGATATACCTCGTGAAGATAGTCACTAGTGAGCATATGTTGATTAATATCAGATGGTTTTGTGGATATTATAGTAATTTCAATGGTTAAGATCATGAATCATGACTCATGATTACTATAATATGCACAAAACCCATCTGATTCATAATTAATTGAGGTTAGTACTACGGATTGTATGTGTTATCACTTTTATCATATGAGTTTGATAAACGAGTACTGAACACTAGATGGTAAAATTCGATGGATACAATGCGTTTGAAGTGAAAAACAAAAGAAAACTGTTTGTGAGATCAAACTATTTACACAAACTGCAAAAAATGGATGAATTTCCTAGAATAGACTACTAGGTAGAAGAATAGGTCTTTTATGATAATCAAGTCCCATGCTTATTAACAGGAGAAGCGAACGTTTTGTGGATCACTTGCTCGACAACCAATTAAGATCTGACTTAAATTATTTATTTATATAAACAAAAACGTTGAGATAGAGGGGTGCCAAAATATATGTACCACATAATAAGAAAGAGATAGAGAAAGGAAGGTAACCAAAAAGTATTAAAAATATTAGTGATGGTAGGAGAAGCATTTCAATTAAGAAATATACAATCACAAAGGATTCTTTTAGATAAAGAAGTTCCTCTCACTTATATGAAGTTACACCAGAACTGCTACTGGCTTCTATCCTGGGTCATGTTTATTAACGTCGCAAGCCACTAGATCCGTGAAGGACAAACAGATCTCATACACTGGCCACTTTCGCTCTATACAACCATCAACAAATAGTGCACGATGTGGAATCTGCTTGGATGACATTCGTAGTACATGTGCAAGCCACCGAAGTCGATGCTTCAAGATTGTGACTCCAATTGAATTATCATCACTGACTATATTAGACCGGATTCTTATGTATTAAAACTCCATCAGTAGCTCTTATAGGGTTACTATCTATATCAAGCCCAGGTAAACGATAATAGTTGGGCAAGAGTTCAGCAACCCCATCCCATAGAAAAAAACGCTAACCAGAATAAACACTGGGAGTTGAGGGAAGAATTATGACACCTGAGAGCCAAGATTATTCGAGTCTGATTCCCTTTATAACAACTAGGAAAACCATTATTATAGGTACATGGAATGTTCGGACAATATGGGAAACCGGAAGGACTAGTCAAATAGCTGCAGAAATGAGGAAATGCAACTTGGTAGTGCTCTGAATCAGTGAAACCCATTGGACCCAAGCTGGATGTTACATCTCGACGAGAATAATGAATAGTAACTGTTGCGACCTATTTGTAGGCTAATACTACACATTTATATTTATTCTATGATTGCTAAGTAACTAGATTATGTATATTTATTTTGACCTATAGACTATTATTATACAATTTTTCATTCTTAATTTCTACCCAGTTCATTGACTAGTCTCCCACAGTCGCAGACACTTTTTGGCTTGGTCTTGCACAAATGTTATTTTCTATTTTATGGTCTGTTTCGTTCACCTATAAATCCGAATGATATTTCCTAAAGCCATCGTGTCGAATATAAGGCATTTAACCACCGAGAATAGTTGAAAATGGTTACGCAATAACCCATATTGATTGAAATTAGATATGTAAACCAATGGATGCCGGCTCCATGACCAACGAGTTGAGCCATGAGACTCTGGGTTAAATTCAAAGTAGCTGGTTCACTGCGGAGGTGTCCCGCACCCGAAAAAAAGCTTCCCGGTGCTTTTAGTAGTTATCTAACTTAGGTTGCTTTGTGATCTCAATAACACGGCCACTGTTACCATATTTCGAAAAATATATACATAAATCAACAACAAGGAAAAATATAATGAGACTTGATGTTACGCAGGTGTTGTGACTGACAACTTCAATGTTTCTCGTGAGCTTGTCTGACGCTTGATTTATGAGAACTAATCAGGCTCACTTACAACTTAATATAATGAAACTGACCGGGAAATCACACTTGACGGAAGAGGTGGAAAGTTCCACGTACCTGGACAGCATCATCGATAGAGGAGGATTTGAAAATATAAATGCAAAAACTGACAAGGCAACGGTTGCATTCCCACAGTTGAAGGACATATGGAACTCAAAATAACTACCAACCAATATCAAAGTCACAATCTTGCATACAAACGTCAAGGCAGTCCTACTGTAGGGAGCTGAATCTTGGAGAGCTACTACAACCATCATCGAAAAAGTACAAGTGTTCATAAATAATCGTCTACATAAGATACTCAATGTCCGTTGGTCGAATATCATCAGCAGCAGCGTACAAACCAACTTCCAGCTGGAAAGAAAATTAGGAAAAGATGCTGAAAATGGATATAGCGTACATTGTGGAAATCACTAAACTGCATCATGAGGGAAGCTCTCGTTTTGAATCGCGAAGAGAAACGAAATAGAGGAATTTCAAAGAGCATAGTGCATCGAGAATCGGAAACAAACATCAAAAGGATGAATATCAACTGGAAAGGATTGTCCAGGGCAAAGTTGAATGGAGAATGCTGGTGGGCGGCCCACGCTCCTTCGTGAGGGGTAACAGGAGTAAGTAAGTAATGACCAGGAAACATGGTTATATACAGATTGTTGGCAAAAAATCAAACACGCAACTTGTATTTGTGTGAATAAATATGTTGTCTTGTTTTTCTAACGACCATTTAAGATTTCTGATATCATTAGCAAACCGTGGAACCCTGAACATTCTCCCTTTCTCTTCATCTCTTATTCATTCTATACCATCCACTTGTGCAATTTCCATTTCGGATTAATTTCATACCATTATATTGTAGTGAACGAGAACTCAGGTGGAGAAAATCAATCTATTGTATAGCTCGAAATTAGTGTCTTCGTAAATTATGAAAACCATACATTAAATACTTTATTTGCACATCTTCAATCACTTGTCTTTCAGATTGTACATGATTCTTTCATTTCTCAATTCCTTTCTACAGCTCAACCTTCTTTTGAAAGGCATTTCACTTCTGATCGCTGTTACATACCACTTATATATGTCAACATAAATAGCTTGCACCACAGTATTAATGAATGTACGTTAGGACCAGAAATTTTCTAACTAGTTCTGGTGGTTACTTGAGTTCGTGGAATAATGCACCTCAACCGATAATATTGTAGACATGAAATATTCTCGTTACGTTTAACACTGATGAGCTAACCATTCACACTTACCACCTATTAGTGACCAGCCCCAGTGAACCCACCGGATATTGAGGCAGCACCTACAGTTTCCTATAGATGTCACTCCACCAATGATCAAAGTAGTCAGCATGACCATCAGACAAATCAAGAGCGGGGAACAGCAGGACTAGACAACATAACAGCTAAAGTCAGGCATAGGAGTAACTGCAAGTATGCTTCCTGTTCTATTCAGGAAGATTTGGGAGTAAGAAGTGCCAACGGACTGGAAAGAAAAATATCAAAGAAAGGCCATAGCAAGTGTGAGAACCACAGAAGTATCACAATCACTAGGAGTATCAAGAAAATTTTTAAACTGTTGAACCGACTCTGAATGTGAATTTTAGCCACATAACTGTTAGTATCTACTAGAACACGATACGTAGTTTGTTCTGTAATCAGTTGTCCTCAATGGAAACATGCTTAGAGGTTAATTGATTGACAATTACCTCTAATTAATCCCTAGCATACTACATGCATAATATCGGTGCAATTTTCGGCTGTTCGTTTTACCATGCCTAATACCGTAAACAGTGACATTGCTCGCATCACTAATAGTGTAACATGAGATCCATCCGTAGTAGGATAAATAGATTTTGCCGCGACAGTTCGTATACTGGTAGTTTATTGTTATTTCATTTTTGCATTTAGTCTTATTTATGAACAGAGGAAAACTGGACAGGTAACCGAATTACTACAGCACCGTTTAAAACATTTTTCGTTGGTACTTGTCGATAGTCAATTGTTAAGTTTATCTAAAAATAGAAGTGAACAGGGATACTATCTCATTTATAAATCCGAATGACATTTTCTAAAACTTACTGCTAATACCTTTTTTAGTATATTTATGTTAACTATCGCTTGATAAGTCAGATAATTAGCACTTGCACTTCAACAAGACTAATTATAGAAGTAATCTTACTTAGAGTCACTTGTATGACGTTCATTTCTTATTCAAAAACTATTTCGAAGTTTAAAACAATGAGATCTAAATTTTATTTTCTCGGTAACTAGTTTAGATATTCACTTTGAACGATTTGTTTATTAATGAACTTGATGTATGCACATACATTACACATTATATGTGGTCGTTCATCATTACAGTTAATTATAAAATTACTAACTGGTCACGGCTTCTCAGTAAAACGCTGGCAATTTTCAAACTTAACCATTCAATAACATTAAACAATCTCCACAAATCCCTATTCTATTACTTAACATATGTTTATTGGGGTATAAATTCAAAAGGAAATTCTCAGAATTGTGACTAGTACAGTCCAATCGTGTCGGGTATAAGGCACTTAACTATCGAAGATAATGGAAGATGGTTGCGCAATACCGCATATTGTTTGAAATTAGACATGTAAGTCAATAGATGCCGACCACATAATCAAAATTTTAAGCTTGACCCGCGAGATACCAACATTTCTGGGGTAGATTCCAGGCAGCTGTGTTTTTATATGTCCATTGTTAAACTCGCACACCAGGACAAAACAGATTTTCGGTGCTTTCTAGTTATTAATAGTTGCCTAACTTAGGTTGGTTCGTAAGCTCAATAACACGGTAATTGTTACCATATTTCAAAAAAAAAACAGCAAGACTTGATCAAAGGTGCTATTGTAATAAACAGATAACTAGTTTAGGGTCTAATAACATAACTACCGAACAGTAATGTGACAAAATCGAACAAGAAAGTATAAAGTTGTTTTATTTTTTCAAAAACGACAACTGATTTGTTATGTTCAATTGTTGATGACCTTGTCGACTAGTATCCCCTCCTAGTTTTCCAGCTTCTTTATACATCAAAACTGATAATTTGTTATGCTCAATTGTTGATGACCTCGTCGAATAGTGTCCCCTCCCCTAATTTTAAAGCTTCTTTATACATCACAACTAATAATTATACACTACTATCTTGGAAGTCTGATCAGCCCTAATGGGTTGGTATCGGACGAAATCTCAGCACGGATTCGAAAAGCTCGTTTGGTTTTTGCCAACTTACATCACCTTTGGCGAAGGCGAGATATCCGTCTATCAATAAAAGGACGAGTATACTGCGCGGCAGTCCGTTCTGTTTTAATTTACGGCAGCGAAACATGGCCATTAAGAGTAGAAGACACTCTTAAGCTATTAGTATTTGACCACAGATGCCTTAAAAATATTGCTGGCGTCTGCTGGGATAACCGGGTAAATAATAGTGAGGTTAGACGCAGGGTATTAGGAAATGATGGTAAATTAGTTGATGAGGTTATGAATCGTCATCGACTGAGATGGTTGGGCCACGTGTTTTATATGCCTGAACATCTATTACCACGACATGCAATGCTAACCGGTGTTGGGGATGGTCGGAAGAAAGTTGGGGGCGGGCAAACCAAAATGTGACATCAGTGCTTGAAGTCACCAAGTTCTAGTCTGACCATGTTGGAAAATGCAGACTACTTGGTTGGGCTCCGCGTGACTATCGTAACCAATGGTTGGAGACTCTGTGTGACATGTCCCAGAATCGATCACAATGGCGTCGGTGTATACACTCCCTGTCTTCCCTTAAACTAAGAGATTAAAATCGCTTCATATCTTTCTTTCTACGAACCAATTCTTTCTTGTACTATATCTCTATATGCAATCTTTCTCTTATATATTACCACCTTTTACCTAACCACTGTTATGAATCCGGTATTCATCTTGTTGTGCTGATGCGGTATGGCAACTTGGACCGATGCACATATGTGTCTGGTCCTACGTTGTAGCTGACTGACTGACTGATTAGTAGTTTTCTTCTATAATAATTTTATAAAAAAAGAACCATTTTTTCTAACTTGTATTGTTAAGAATGTTCAAATAAGTGATAAAATAGAATAAACATAACCCAGTTTAAATGTTATAAGTATAATATAGATTGAATAATTTTGAAAATAACCTTTGTGTACTATAAGCATACACAGACATGAATTAGATATCTATCTATTACAGAATAATAAATGTTAAACTAATGAGAGAAGTACACATTTTGACTAAGATATACATATACATATATATTGGTCGACATTTCGTGTATTTGTATTTCTAATCATAAAAAAAAACTTGAGTGAGATGAACTAAGATAACAGATCTCGAATTTCGGCACAGAATTCACTCCATTCATTTAGCTAAATAAAGTTTTGACATTATATTTGATATCAGTTGGTGATGATGAAAACCCTTAACAACTGTCAATCATAATTCTAATTCTTCACACATTAGTTCATTTCGATTCAAGTCATGAAGTGAACATACTCAATATCATTACTTTATAGCATCATTCAAAAAAATTGCATCCATAAATAACAATCTCTACTTATGATTGATCTACTTCAATTTGTTTCTTCTTTTTTTTCATTATTCAAAAATGATATATGATATATTCTATTCAATATTTGTTGACAATCATTATAATGAAATGGATGAGTTAATGGTAATGTGATCATATAAAATATAAATGGTAAACTTATTAAACTTATATACCAATAATAAATAGTTATATTTAATGCTAATAAACCATATCCAATATAAAATGAATTTATAATAATAATAAATAAATATTGTTTTGGTTTATATAAAATAGTTTGAATAAGTTTATATGGATTACATATAGGACATATAATATCATCTATATCATTTATACAATAATCAAATATTAATGGAAATCTATATAATGAATCAAATATACTATAGAATAATATTATATAAGGATATATATAATATAATATTCCACCAAATAATATAATATTGATACAAATAATTGGATATGCATATAATATATAATAAAGATAATCAAACCAATAATAATCATTAAATATAATTATAATTAATAATGAATAAATTAATAAACTAATAATAATATTAATGATATAATATAATATAGGTAATGAAGTTAATGGATAATTCACTTCTGATATACATCCTATTCCAGCATATAAAATAGGATAAAATTCTTTAATATTATCTATAGGACAATGATATAATGTAAAACTACCTAATGGAGGATATATTAATATAATAATTAAACTTGTTAATAAATGAATAATAATACAACATAGAAATAATAACCATGATTTTTGAGTAATACTCATTTTATGAGTAGTACTACTGATATTACTATTAGTAGTAGTAGTTGATTGTTCTAAATGTTTCAAATCAATTTTTGTTAATGATAATATTGGTAAAATTTGTAATAAAAATATAATAGGTAAAATCATTATAAAACCAATATATAACCAATTATATAATGTAAATGATGTTAAACATAATTCACATATAGGATTATATGGATTATTGAATTTATAAAATACTTTTGATCCCCATAAACATGATGTACATAAACTTGTATTGGATATTTGACCACAAAATTTTCTAGTACATTTTGAAAATAGTTCTAAATTGTTATTGATGAGAATATTGTTAGTCTCAATTGAATTCATGAAAATACCCGTTTAGAATATACAGGATAACAGCTAAACATTAGTAATAATAATAATAATAATATTAGTGACAACCAATTAGTTAAGATCATATCACTCACTACAAGTTAATTCAGTAAAAGATCTATGTGCTTACTTGTTCTTATTTTTCGCTTTCCAAATTTATTTCATTGGATTATACTATTTGAATAACATCTATCAACCCTAATCTTTCCGATTACTGTTTATACTCTTACTATCTCTAACAATATGGGATTTGAATCGAAAACTATATCACTGTGCTAATGTGGTTTGGCAACTCGAACCGACGTATGTTGTTACTGACTGACTATGTGCTTACTGTAAATTTATGTCATTACTTCCCGTTTATTTAATACACGATCAATACTTACGAAAATCAGCTCAATGACTATTAACTATGAAAGTGCGATAAACCGATTTCTAATCTATACCACCAAACGTAAAACACATAAGGATGGAATTAACATACATAGACCTAAGAGAAAATAGTAAGACATTTAAAGACAGTAGTAACCATGATAAAAAGAAAGTGAACACAGAAAATATAGTTTGATAAAACAGAATAGAAAGTTATATCATGAAGGGATGTTAGGAGGGATTTGGAAGGTAAATATTAAAGTAGCAATAGAGCTTTTAGTATCACCTATGAGGAAAGAATTTAACTAACTGGATGTGTATACATAGCTCCAAACACCTCTAGTTTAACTGACACTGCTATGAGTGAGCGAATTGCTACGGCTGCCTCACTTGATTTCGTCTATAAAATTATTTGTGGTGATTTCAACAGCAATGCTTTCGACTTGATATTCTGTCATAATGTCACACCGACGTATGAAGTGGTTGGCGAAAAGTTTAACATCAGTGATCGTAAAATAGTCTTATTCACTCTACTGACTCTTGCAAAGTGCAACAAATCCAAGACAATAACGACGCATTTTCAATATACAGACTATGCACACAATGACTAGGGAAACTCTCGATTTCTAATAAAGTGCTCTGATTGGAGTAGTCTCTTTACCAGTGATAAGCCTTCAGAAACATTAGAAGTGTTCAATGTACCCACTAAATAGTACTATATCATGTCTAAAATGGCACTCCATACTGTATGATGGTGCGACGTATTATGGCCTAACCGTCATATGTGAACTACTAAGTGAATGGGTTTCCCACTGTGCGAATAAATCTCATGCCCCAGATATTAATATCAAGTGCACTAGCAAAAATAATCATAGTATTAATAACTTATAACTTATTCATATACACGCCTTCACCAAACCCTTAAGTTGAATGCAAGTTCTGATGCAGATGATATCCCATTGATTCTTTAAAAAACTGGTAGGACCGAACATAGGAACACTATTACTCAAAATATTCACTTCACTCTTAGAGGCAGATACATACTCCGAAACTTGAAAGATAGCGTATGTTGTACCCATACATAAATCAGGATCGAAACATTTAATCTAGAAATACAGACCAATAAATATCACCCTAATTATACGACGCGTAGTGGAAAAAGTGATATGAGATGAATTATCTGATCACCTACTCAAAACAGACTGGTCCACCCGTCAGAACACGGTTTCATAAGAACAAGATTTTGATCCACATGCCTGATAGGCTTCTTTAACGAGATAACTCGCATATGTGACCAAAAACAACTAGTGTTTGTTTCGATATCAAGACAACTTTTGATAAGGTACTTCATAACCTCTTAATCGACAGACTTTAGTCCATTGAAATTACTAACCATATATTGCAATGGATTAGTTCTTTTCTCACAAACAGATACCAAATGACTAGAATTAATTCTACAGTATTTATACCCCGACCACTAGCCAGTGGTGTTGTGCAGGGTAGTGTCTTGGGTTCATTGCTTCTTACAACCTACATCAACAATATATGCAGGTAATTCAACACAGGTAAAACTTACGTTAACGCTGATAACTTGAAAGTAGTCAATAAAAAAAGACATTTACAACATACAAAGTATTACGCAAACAATCCAGCATGAACTCAATAAGATAGGTAACTAATGTAAGCGCTGGAACTTTAAAATCAACACAGAGAAATGCAGCTGACTATGTATTGGAGAAATATCTGTTAAAATAAAGCTAACACAAAGACAACGTACTGGCTAAACTCAAATCAGTGACTGACCTTGGGGTGCATTATTCGCAAAGTGTAAAACTTCGATGAAAACTTCAGTGCTGCTTTGAAAACGACAGGAGGCTATATAGATTAAAACATATGTTTGAGGGATTTTCAACGAAATTCGCTAGTTCATTTGGCAACCTAGGATGCATTTCATTGGATCCCATGGATTTGCTTATATTAAGCTCATTCAGTAAACAAATACATGGACTTCTTTGATAGTCACAGTGTTCAGTGTGCATGTACGTGTGTGGGGTTGTCTTGTATGAAGTGAAGGGACGGGTGTTTCTACGGTGTACATATTGCTAAAGCAGTTCGAGAATACCTGAGGTTTTCGTTGTCGCCCTCTACCAATAATGGAATACTACCGTAGCCCGATAATGCTATAATATTTCCTCTCCTCTCGGTTCTTTGGTTCCAGAGCAATACCGCTATATTGACGTGGTCGGGTTTACTTATTGTGATCCGTTTTGTCTGGAACAACCGTTTACCAAGGTCGCAACATGCTAGAATGGTTGATGAGTGTAGAACTAAAAGCATGAAAAACACAAGTTTCGAGGTCGAAGTCGTACTGCCGACTGTGCATAGGTGTGACAGCAGTGATGTTTTTTTCAGAAAGCCAGTATGACAGCCACCCATAAGCTTTTTACGTCTATGGTGACATATATTCAGTGACTTTCGTAAGAACAAAATAAAACCACATTTTTTCTCTAATTTGTCACACTTTATTTGTAACCACATTTTTATTCAATATCTGTTGTTTTGCTGTATCACTTGTTAAAAAGATTATGATAATTGTTTCGATAAATGATATACGATTCTACTACCGCGTTGTTTAAAATATAGAACACTATCTACGCCGTTTGTTCTTCTGTTTTATTGGCCACCGTTTTGATTGAAGATTATAATAGTATTATAACATCATTATAGGCCTTCCGACTCAACGTTGGACTTTTGGCGCGGATTACTATTGTATAATACTATTGGACTCCGTCTTCCTCATTACGTCATTGGTGCAGTCACTTGCAGAGGAACACCTGTCAATCAAGTGAACTCAGTTTGTGGTCGTTGTTCTCACGAGGACGTTCACAAGTAACATTCATTCTATATTAACTGTTAGTGTCTGTTTGTTTAATATACCTTTTGTATCGCTAACGGTATTTTGTTACCTTTGGTTTTACTAACGGACAGACATCTAGGTTTCTTTACTATTAATTTTTTCGGTATATCATTATTAACCTAGTGTATCAATATATTTTGTATAATCTCCTTTTGTTTAGGAACCACCACAAATTCGGTGAGCCCGTAAATTTTTTTCTCTTGAAACTACTTTTGAGTTCACTTACAGACACTACGGCGTTATTTTACCCTTGGTAGTATTGAATTTTTCGTATATTTGTAATGTACTCATCCGAAACCGAAGGCTTTATACAGAATAACATTTCAGAAGAGATACACGCTCTAAATTTGATAAATGTGCCCCCATTCAGCCGAATAAAACCTCGCATTTGGTTTGCGCAAGTAGAAGTACAATTTCAGCGTCGCAACATACGCTCACAGGCATCTAAATACTCTTTTGTGCTTTGATTACTACCCACTGAAGTTGCATCTGAGGTATAAGATTTGATAGATAATGTTCCTGCATCTTACCCGTTTGATCAATTGGAGCAGGCAATTATTCAACGTACCTCATTATCGGATGAAAAGAGATTACAACAGTTACTGCACGTATGTGAGCTAGGCGACAAGATTTTGCCCTCTCCATTTATTGAAGCACGGCAACTTGCAACTTATAAACCCAAAATAATAGTAGAGTCAAATTCCAATTTCAACACAAAAGTTCATTCGCGAACTACAAATAGTCGACCGAAATGTCGTTTCAATAATAATTATAAATTTAAATAATAATAATAATATATTTCTGCATGTGCAGGTACACACCGTTTTTACAGGCATGATCTATAAATTACAACATTTGTTGGTTCACAAAATGTTTCCCATCTTATTAAGTTTATTGTTGTTATGAAGTAAAATCGTAGAGCGCTTACTGTAAACTATGACCTTGAGAGGACGCGTACGTCAAGTTTGTTCCAAATGTCAGAAGTTTTATAGCTGTGCTCTCAGAGCAAGATTCTGAAGAAAAAAGAGAAACAGAAGAGCAGCAAGGCACTTGGATATGAACGCCAAACGTTGCTTAACATTGTGTAGTAGAATGGACAGAGGTATAATAAATTAGAATAAATTCATATTATGTCTTGTTAGAGTGAAGTGAAGTCAGAGGCTCCATATTAAAGAATGTACTAATAAAGAACAATGAGTTGTTATGTTTAACAAGTTGGAGTAAGTTCACATGAAGGAAGGGAAGTCAGGGTTGGTACAAGGGAAGTGGTTTATTAGAAGGGTGTGTATATAGAGGGTGAAGTGTTAAGAATATTAATGACTATATCTTTTGTTATCTAATTTTTTTTCTTTTTGTCTATCCGATGCCAGCCACACAATCCTAGTGTAAAGGTCCGAGTTAGCATGTTATAGGTTGTCCTAGTAGAATAGCTAATCCAGCATAATATTGGAAACATGAGTCTGAGTGGTGAGCGTAGGAAGACAATCTATATCACAGATTGATTGACTTATTCTCAACCATGAGGAGCCTGATACATACAAAATGTTCTGTCCCCACAAACACGGGTGGATTGAAGTTATCGCCCTCACCATCAATGCTTGCTGGTCAGTAACTTCACCCTCCCTCCTTTTGTGATGTTAGGCTCATTTAGGCTTATTTTTGTATATACGTCATACCTCACACAATCCTCTGTTTCACATCCTGTTGGAAAGTACTATTTCTATAAGTACCATTTTACAAGCTTATCAGGCAGTTACAAGCTATGGACAGTGGGTAAGGCATCGATGCAGTGTCTCTGTTGACTATAGTATAAAGTATAGTTTGCCAATCAGAGTATAAGCATTAAGAAGAGTATACTGTAGGATGGTTGTTTATTAAAGCAGGCGGAAAAAGTATAGAAGTATATGAGTTGTGGATAAGGGAACGAGTGGAGAAATAATATTAATTGCTAGTCAACATAGTGTACTGAAGAGTAAAAGGTCAATACATGATAAACAGGAAGGAACTCACAGTAACTTGGTGCTGATGTTATTTTCTGTTGTCCTAACCAGTTGATTGGTAACAGGCTCCATAGATGCAAGACCACTGGTAGTAGGCAGCCGATTGTGCGGTCCTCTTGACTTTTTAGGGTGGTAGTGAGTGTCCCTTATCGACCGAGTTTAGTTTAACAGTAATGATAGATTCAGTGAGTTACCTGTCTGCTTCAAGTGAAGAAATAGAGTGGAAAAAGTAATTAATACAATTGCAAAGTAGGAAAAATAAGGCAAACTGAACTTGAAGTCCATCCTGATCTAGACATGGAGAGAGCCTATGATGTCTGAGTAGGGCGCAGATGTGTTCGTACTTGCAAGATCAGTGCAAGTGAGGGCTTGATCGAGCAGTTTTACAAACGTATGTAATTCATCTGCCATGCGAGTTTTGGAGGGAAGACTGTTCCATATTATTGCATACATTGGTGAGGAAGGAGTTTTCCAGAGTTTTTGATCTGTATTTCTCAGCTTTGACCGTAGATACTTTGTTTCTAAGTCCGTATTCATGTGAATCTCGGGCAATAATTATCTTACATGTTGAATAAGTAAGGTTTTTGAGTAGTTTGAAGTAGAGAATCAAATTGGACCTAAGCCTTCTCTTCCAAAGGGGTGCTATTTCTAAGATTTGGCACCGGGAACTGTAGTCAATGACCGAGTCAGTCTTAAATACTCTGCGGGTGAAGTCTCGTTGTATTCCTTCCACCTTTAGTGTATCAGATAGGCGTAGGTTGGAAAATAAGAACGAGCAGTATTCAACGATAGGTCTTAAACAAACTTTGTAAAGAATGATTTTAGATTCATTTTGATATAAATTACGGAGAATGAAGCCAAGCAATTTCCGCAAATGTCAGTTTTATAGATGACTTTTAAGTCATCGGCATAGAGGTAGATCTTACCTATGCTAAAACACTTGCATATATTTTTGATGTAAATTATAAAGAGCAATGGACCCAAGATTGATCGGTAGAGTAATCGTCCTAATAGGAAAGGCATAAGATGTATTCAGATGTTTGTAATTAAAGGTCATTTCAGTGCAAATTCATTGAACTACAAAGGAGGGTCATTGAAACTCCGCACAGTGGCACAATAATGTGTTTCACTTCTTTTTTCGTAATAAAAGACGAATGTGGGAGAGAATTTGGTTATTAGTTTCTGTCGAGACGAAATCCAAACATCGTAAATGTCAAAATATTCGTGCCCCGACTCTCCTTAAGTCTAGAAGGCTGTATGAAAAAAATCTACTTAAGGAATTGAACGAACGCCGTGAACCCTTATATTCACATATAAAACAAGAGATTGAGAGAAGAGGAAATATTCTAGCATTATCGGGCTACAGTAGTATTCCATTATTGGTAGAGGGCGACAACGGAAAACCTCAGGTATTCTCGAACTGCTTTAGCAATGTGTACAGCGTAGAAACACCCGTCCCTTCACTTCATACAAGACAAATTCACACACGTACAAATGTAGTGGCATTGGACCATAACCAAACAATCCTGAAAGCTGAATACGAGATTACTCGGAAAATAGATATTCAATATTTAACGCGGAGAAATACCTAACGATGGAGAAGGCGCGAACAAGGAATTGAATGAATTGGAGTTGATCGAATGGCATGGATCGGCCATGCAGGCGTGGTCCCTACTGAATATTACCTTATATCTTTTACCCATATTAAATATATCGTTCTCTCTCTAACCTAAGCTTGTTCTTCACCATGTATTGGTAGTTATTATGATACAGTGAGTTGGTGTAAAAAATGATGTGACTTCCACGTAAGATCTTATAGATTAGGCAGTTATATCATGACAAGTCCACAATTTTAGGATTAGGTCTAGTATTAGAGCAGTACTAATATCATAGTTGACCATAATTCTACATTGGTAAGCCCGACTAAAT